GTTTTTTCACACGAGTGTCGCTAGTCGAACGTTTATCCAGCCAACTTCATTCTAAACCGTGTTATAATTATTATATATTTCGACAGTTGGCATTTCATGGTTTATTTATAAGAAAAATTCATTTGATTTTGTGCAGTTGTGTATTTTTCGTGTGTGATAACAAAATGCAAGAATTCGACCATTCATGATCACGTGAAACGACATGGTGTTTTATTGTCATGAAAAAAAAACGAAATTATTTTTCGAACAATTCGGAATATTTTCGAGCGAATGGATCGAGGCTAAGAAAATTTTGACACTTATTCATACGTACGTTTATACTTGGTTCACACTTACTGGGCACATTTGTACAAGTGATTCAGATAATTGATCTCATACTCGCTCGAATTATCCACTCTGTTGAACGATTTGAGATCGTTTTGAAAATAACCCCATACGCTTTGCACCGTGCACAGATTCAAAGTGACAGGTCCTGTGAAATTGTTTTGTACGGGAGCATAGCAAATCCGTTCCAAACCTTCCCCTTCTTCTTGCCCGAGCTAAAAATTGTTCCATCTAGATTTCCTATCTGTCGAAAGAGACACGTGGATGATACGTTGTTACGTATGTATACATATTATATTTACTTGCAATATTTTATGTTGTAGATCGTATACAGCGAGCAAAAATTCTTTGTTGAAGATTGGACCAAATTCGAGACGACCAGTTGTTGTATCGTGATATATCTAGGCGAGTGATGAAATGATATGAGTAATGATATAAAAAAGAGAGAGAGAGAGAGAGAAAGATTTTACCTTATCAAGACCCACAGATTTGATATAAACCTGCTCAGTTCTGTAGAAAGGTTGGAAATGAGAATCAAAGTAATTTTTCTCGATCCTTGCTCTGCTGGTAGGTGCTGCCCAAATCTCTATAGGATTGCTCGTTATCGAGAGGTATTTTATTCCGAAACTTAATCTCACTATTATGTATACGAATACTAATAAAAATATTATTGGATATTTTGCGAATACTGTAAGAAAACGTATAAAACATTTATATTTATACATCGTAAGATGAGTGCGAAAGGGGAAGTAAGAAAAAATAAGAGAAAGAGATATTTCGTAAAAAAAAACGAAGAAACGTACGTACTTTTGCCCCAAGCGGTGAAAAATATTTGAAATATCTTGCCCGAGGAAAGGAAATCACAATGGAAACCTCTTATCTTTATGATATATACGATTATAAATATCAAGATGAGTGCAACGATTGCGATTGCTGTTACGATTCCATAACCGTTCAATCCGAAAAGGAGAAAACCGTCATTTTGTTTTTGTATCGTAACGACCGGGCAAGATGTTGGACAATCGACGCAGCTACACGGGGATGAATCCTGTCGAATCAATTGAAAGTCTTGAATGTTAGTTGATAAAAATGCCCTATATAGAATATCTATGAAAGATATTCGGAGAAATTTGATTTTTTTTTTTAGAAATTAGATACGATTAGAAAGGGACAAGAATTTGAAATATTTTGACATATGTATAAATATTAGTTTATTTTAACTTACCTCGTACATTTCGTTGCACTTTTTCACCGATGAATTCCATAATTTCATCGATTCATTTTTCGATACTTCCGTGATGAAAAGCATTCGAAAGCTCACGAATATATTCTGATCCGGATCACCTTGATACTCGTACCATCTGCAAATAATTTTCCATCGAGTCTTCGCTCAATAAATATCGCTTCGCTTCGTGCGATAATTTTTTTTCTTTTTTTTTTTTTTTTTTGCTTACAATTTTGGCGTGCACGTGCTAGCGTCGTAAATTCCACAAGCCAGATCCATAGCTAATTTCCCACTCTGAGGCATGACCACGTTCTTACAAGAATCGTAAGTTTTGTTCATGTACTCCTCTTCAACATAAACCTAAAAAAAAAAGGAAGACAACATGTAATACAATTGTAAAGAAAAGCAAGCAAAATGAAATAAGAATATCGCTCACTTCGATTTCCTCCACGTATTCTTTCCTCTTTCCTGATTCCGTCGTATAATTGTTACCTGTTTTCGTTACGCGGAGAAACTTGCTTTGCTCGGGGCTACACACCAAGTCGCACAGCAATTTGTATACGTTTTTCAAACAAGTTGGACACCTGCCAAATATACTTTCGGCCATGTTCAAATTCTCGATCAACGTTTTAACATTGTCAGCGTCGCAACACAATTCCGGTGAGTCTGAAACGTTAGGAAGGGAATAAAAATGAAATCAGGAGGAGAGAAACGAGGGATCGATTAGAGTAGATTTGTGAAAAGATACCTTTGCCTTCGAAATAATAGGGGCATTTTTCACGGAGATTCGAATTCGATTGGAAATCGATCGGTTTCGGAGGATCATTCGATGCACACGTGCGACTCACTCCAAAGTTCGTTACACCGCAATTTCCTCTCCATACACAGTGATAGGCGTCTGTTTGGCATCGTGCCAATTGTAACGCGTAACATAACAACAACGAGGATAAAATAAAATGTAATTCGCGTCGATTCATAATTTCAATATTCACAATTTCAAACGTGAAAGAAATCAATTTTCAAACTTTCAAAATTTCAGATCTAGATCACGGGATACATTTTGAATTCTTCTTTTTCTTCTTTCTTTTCACACGCGCGAGTTAATGTTACGTTATGTACGTTATTAAATATCGGATTTTAATTCGACGAAAGAAGATTTTGTGACGAATTGTTCGGCCAATCGGTCGTCGATAAACGATTCGTTTTGAACGGAGAAAGAATCGATCCGGAATAATTCCAAGATAATAGCGAGTTTTCGATTTTATTCGAACGATACGGCACTTATCGTCGAGCATCTTATCGTTCGATTGACACGTAGAGGATGGTCTACTGTTGTAATTGAATCGAGAATTTTAGTAGGGGAATGTAATCGAAATAGGATTTATCGAGAAAAGAATGAATTTATGACAGATTAATATAGTCAGAAAATTGATAACGATCGCTTCGCACACCTGCGTCTTATCGACATCTCATTCCGATACGATTACGACGTAAATTACGTACATCGTGTTATCAATATCTATCACTATTGTATATTATATCCGATATACAATAGTCGATATTATCGAATCGTTCTCTGTATGCATTTTTCCATCTATTTGCATGCCATTGCGAGAAACGAAATGTTCGAAAATCGAGATCGACGTGCCATCTGATGATTCTAGGAGATATTTCGCTAGAATTAAGGAAAGGAAGAGAAATAAATTGATCAACGGAATAAAGCAACATTGGTACCGAATAATCATATTTTAATGACTCAATGATTGTACAAATGGATCATCCTTGAACATTTCCGCATAACCGAGGAACGATAACAATAAATACAAGGAATTACCGTAATTATAATGTTCAATTACTAATGTATAATTACACAATAGATGGAAACGTAAACAACATGGTTTACACTGCGCGTTCGCGTATTTTTTTTTCTTTTTTTTTTTTTATTATACGTA